TTATTTATTAGACTCTCAATGGGGATATCCAACGTGTTCATTATCTGCCTAGTATGCCTGGAAGACCGAGGACAAAATGCAGTTGGTGCAATGGCCAGTTTAAAGGTGCTAAATTCGATATTAAGAACATCAATATTGCAGCAAAGAACTATTTGCCATGTAAAGATATAGTGGAGTAATACTCCCAGTCTGGTATCGCCTTTAGGGATGTGCAGCTTTTAAAGCATGAACGACCTTTACACTTTTGTCTCAACTTTTCAGAGTGGAAATACAACAAAGAATGTGCAGAACTTTTCACAGCCTTGGAGCATCAAGTACTAATTATTTCCCAACAAGACTCATAAGTGAGCCTCGGACTAGTATCAGTTATTTCCCAACACAACACGAAACTACAAAATATATTTTCAACCAGAAAAACGTCATGGGTGTCATCATGTGAACAGAACATAGCAAGGTGTCACACACAGTACGATTACATATCATCGAATATATATCATCTGTAGTACACTGATCTGAAATATGGAAATACAGAGTCTGAAAATAGCATTCTGCTCTCTGTGGAAGAATGAAATGTTTTAAGAGTAATGAGAAGATGAAGAATGGGATGTGGTGGTAACGTGCAAACACACACACACACACACACACACGCACACACACACCCACACACACCCACACTCTCTCTCTCTCTCTTTTTCATGTTTTATGCCTGGCCATTAGTCAAAGCTGTCACTGTACATACTAAGCCAAGTCATTAGTATGGCGGTTGTCAGGTGTACTTGAGTGGCCATTAGTGTGAGAGAACTTGATGTGGAAGACATTCTATAGGAAGACAACAAGTAACATCTGACTTTGCGTTTGCATTTGGTTTTGTTTTAAACTGTTATGAAGAGAGTCATTTAACCGGGCATATGCTTTGCATTTTGTATCGGATGCTACAGTACGATCTGTTGTTGATTCTTGCAGAAATAATCTTTTTACTTGATTGTAAAAGAAGGTGAGAGCAGAATGCACATGAATGGTCTTAAATCAGTTACAGATGCGGCTCATTATTTAGTGTTACAGCGGGAACCCTCTGGGTCAAATAGATCACTATGAGCCGATGATTATTAATTTACATTTGTCAGCCATGGCTGCTAGTGATGGAGACAGCAAAGTAGGCCTAATGAGAAGGGCTGCTTTGCTTTTTATTCAATGTTTCATAATATAGTAGATCTGTTTGAAATGCAGCTTTGGCTGTTTCAAAGGGCGGCTTCCTCCCAGGTGCTTTCCCTGTGCACATTCCTTCTCTGTCTCCATCCCCGGCAGCCATGACTGTTAGACTACACAAGGCAGCCTGAGGAAAAGTTTCTCTGCTTGTCATAAGCTTCGAGGAGAGACGCATTTCATTGAGAGAAAATGACTTCCTCTCTTGTCATGCTTTCATTGGGCACGTAGCACCAGTCGGAAGCAGACGAGTTACCGCGAGGCATCGTGAAGTATCATGGGGTAAAGTTATAAAACAGAATTACCATAGTTCGAAACAATTTCCACTTTAAGCAGACTACTTGACTGAACAGCATTTGCATGGGAATGATTCTCTCACATGCTATTTGATGCATTTACGCAATCTCTCACTATTAGCGGTTTCCACTGTAAAAACAGTACGTTTATTGGTGTTTGTTTGGAAAATTAGAAATTGCAGAATATTGGATAACTAATATAAATATCAAGCTGAAAATTAGATTTGAAAAACATTTTGTAATAGATATGGACACCAAAGCTCTCATCTCTATGAGATTTGTTGTATTTGGCACTCTTTCCAAATGCATTACACACGTTTTGTCGGGATTAGTAGTAAAAGACACATCAGTATCTGACGATACTTATCACCTTCGAACAATGACAAGTACATAAATAATCTGAAAGAATTTGCCAGTAATGCAGAGGCTGCTCTCCAGCAGTCAAGAAACACTCACACAAGAATCTAAATATTACGGATAGAACATTTGAAAAACAAAAAGCAAAGCAATTGGCAAAAGTCCTTCCTGCAAATTCATTGTGCTTGGCCAAGGTAACGGCTCCGAGTCGTGTACACTTTTCATGAATAAACTATCGAAGGAGAAATTTAGCTGCCGACTGCTCAGGGAAGCCTACTATAATGACTTTGGGGATTGTGCAGCTGCACTGTTTTGTGACTTGAAGTTTTTTTTATGCCTCCACACCGGCAACAGCTGTGGCCAGAGGCATTATGTTCTCGGGTTGTCCATTTGTACATTAGTACGTCCAACCTGTAAAGTTTCGGGATTTCATCTTGCACGGTTGTGAAGCCATCGCGTGGACAAAATACCAGCGCCGCATTCCCGGCTGGTAAATATATCACTACGTTTAATTTGATCTGTTTGTTTTTTGATAGATGTCGTAGACAGAACAACAAGTGAAGCTGTGCAGTATATTTATATATAACCTAGGATTCATAAGAATGATTTATGTTCCTGTTTTAACATGCTTCGACATGTGATTTGTATTTTTGGCTGAACTCAACACTGTTTAAGCACAGTGTGCCTCTGTACAGTATCGTATCTGAGGCAGCAAATTCAGGAATTAATTTGGTGTTTAACTCTTAGTTTATTATCGTGACTTCAGGATTTAATGATTTCCTTTCACAGTATGCTTGATTGGTAGTTCTATCTTGGATTGACTAGAACATCTAGCATGCATCAAAAATATAAAGTTATACATTTTTTTCTTGCTTTACTTATTAAAAAAAAACAACTTAAAAATACTGTCAGGTCTGACAATCTGTCTTGGTGCTAGCCTGACATCAATATTCAATTTCAGCTTTTCTGCGTCACTGGCTGCCTGCCACATATGTGTACCTGGCATCTACAGTACACTATATGCACTCAGGTATTTTTCAGACTGTCAAGGGCAATGTGACGGAATCTTTAAGAAAAGGTGTGTTTGTCTGCGTCGCTGTGTAGCAAGATAAGCACTGTACTGTCTAAATGTAAAGGGTGTGTAATTAAAGTCAACCAGAGTGCTGTCAATATGTGGCGACTGCGACTGAGAACACTGGTTTGCCCCATGTTAAGGTTTAATTATGGACCATAGGGTCCCTCGACAGGTGTGTGTGGGCACATTATGTTGCAGAGGTTGGAGGATGATTGCTCTGCACTGTTAGAGAGATATGTGACAGATGTGTGCCTATAGGTGCCTGTGTGTGTGTGTGTGTGTGTCTCTCTCTCTCTCTCTGTGTCTCTCTCTCTCTCTCTCTCTCTCTCTCTCTCTCTCTCTCTCTGTGTGTGTCTCTCTCTCTCTCTCTCTCTCTGTGTGTGTGTGTCTCTCTCTCTCTGTGTGTGTATAAAATCCACCATGAGGAACAGTAACAGTAACAACCCTTTTTTTTCACCATCATTCAATTAATCTTATTTTCCACAGTGGCTTTGAACATCAAGGAATCTGTTTGTGTCTTAATGTGTGTGCCTGTAAAATGTGTGTGTGTGTGTGTGTGTGTGTGCATGTGTGAGGTCGTTTGGCCGTGCACATGTTGTGCTTGCCTCCGCTTTCCTCCCCTTTCATCCCACTGTGTCTATAATGAAAAGCTAAATGGCCGGGGTTAGCAATGATTAAAGATGGACAGCTACCTTGGAGGAGACGGCAAAAACAGAGGTCGGGAAATGACAGCTTGAGGTAAATGACAGCTCTGCTATGTTTAGGATAAATGGATCGTGCAGCTATATTCAGCCTTTCGCCATCAATTATTCAAAGACCCACCGACAAGACAAATCCCCAATAACTGAGATCCCTCTGCAGCAGTGGGGAAGCAAGTTTCTAACCAGGTGACATGATTCACCCACTTTCCTTTTCAGATCCGTTACATGTTCACATCCGATTGAGTGCCTCCGTGAATTGGCTCTTAATTATCAGCAGTTCATTTACAACTAAGAATGTAATGGCCTTGTTATGGGGGCTATTTATCTGAAATTACCTGTGATATGTTCTATCATTGTTTCTCCCTCTGTGGAGAAGCAGCATAATGACAGCTTTTGAGACAACCACTTATTCGCGTTATGGAGGAGATATCAGTGTGTGTATGTGTATGTTTGTCTTCATTTGCATGTAAATGATGTGACTTGTACTGTATGTCCTTGCCTACGCTGATATTCATGCATGAGTGTGTGCACATGGGTGACATTGAAGCACGTCTGACAGTGTGTTTTGATAACAGATGGGTGAATGGGTCATTTGTTATTTGTAATTAGTGTGTGTCCGTTATACTCTGGACCTGTCAGTTGTGTAATCTAATAAAGTGTGTGTGTGTGTGTGTGTGCATGTGTGTTACATTGTCAGACATTTCCGAGACAGACGGTGTCAGGTGAAACTGTGACACAACCTTTTGTTGCCTTCAACATCATTCAGTTTTTTTCCAGTACAAAGACATGATGTGTAAAGTGCGTCTGTTTTTAGCCTATACTGATTTTAGTGTTCCCCTGACTTTTAAGCATGAGTTTAACATTTTAGTTTCATACTGAAATGTCTCGACATCTATTGAATGGAGAGAGAATCCAGAGAATCAATCGTAATGACCGGTGATCTCCTGACTTTTTAAAATTGCGCCACCAGCAGGTTCAAATTTGCATTATTCAACATTTAATGCAAGGATTGGTTCAAAATCTTGAGTAGACATACATCCATGGTTTCCAGACAATGTATCCTTATACATTTGGTAATCCTCTGACTTTTGCTTTCATGATGAAAAGGTCAAAATGTAAAGACTTGTCGAATAATTCAGTTCATGACCAAGTGCCTGCAAAACTAGAGCATTCCCTTTGGTTTCAGTGGTACACTATACCTGCTAAACATCAGCGTGTTAGCATTGTCATTTTGAGCATGTTAGAATGCTGCTGTTAGCATTTAGCTAACCTCACAGAGCGGCTAGCATGGCTGTAGAATACAAACGCATAGCAGTGTAAACTTAAACGCTCTGTCTCCTCTCCTCTCCTCTCCTCTCCTCTCTGCAGGATATCCCTCCACCCAACAGTTACAACGTGAGTCAGACATTTGAAAAGGCTAATGGCCGCTCTTACTTAGAACCTCAAAATGAAGCAGCTAAGCGACGACAGAGCTGCTTCCTCTCTGCTGCGCCACGGGATAATTTCTTCCTGCAATGTGACCCCACTGTACCAGGTAACACACACAAACACATACGGAACAGCATCACATAAAGAGAAACTGATCCATCTCTCTGTTTGAAAGCTGTACAGTTCACCCTTCCACCATAATACAGTCCAATTAGCTCCATCTCTGCAGGCTTCTAACCCAATATTTACCTCAATTACACACCCATTGAAAAATGTTGTTTCAAAATTGATAGATTCATGACTTACTTGGATAATTTATGACTAGCCCCATTTCACCAAGGGACTCAACCCATGAGGCACCCCAAACCGTTTAACCAAAATCCAATTTGCATATAAATAGATTTGGACTGTTTGCAATAGTGTTTCTTCTTCACTCACACACTGAAGCAGATGTGTAGACACAAGCATATGGACAATCAATGCGCACATACTGAGACACACGCGTTGATATGTGCATAACAACACACACATACAATTGTTTTGCTCATTATTGAATTTGCATTTATGAATAGGCCAACAGCCTCAGATTTGGAGGTGCTAACTCTCATCCCCGCCGCTTCACACTCGGCTGCAAACCGCCCCAGTGAATGCTGGAGGTCACGATCCGAGGAGGCTAACAGGACCACATCATCTGCAAATAGCAGAGAAGCGATCCCGAGACCCCCGAGACTGACGTTCTCTGCCCCCAGGCTGTGCCTAGATATCCTGTCCATGAAAATCACAAACAGGACCGGTGACAAAGGGCAGCCCTGGCGGAGGCCAACACCCACCGGGAACGTGTCTGACTTATTGCCGAGAATGCGGACACAGCTCCTACTGCAGTCGTACAGAGACCGGATCGCCCGTTGTAACGGGTCCGGCACCCCATACTCCCGCAGCACCCCCCACAAGACCCCCCGAGGGACCCGGTCGAAAGCCTTCTCCAAGTCCACAAAGCACATGTAGACTGGTTGGGCAAACTTCCAGAATCCCTCCAGTAGTCTTGCGAGGGTAAAGAGCTGGTCCACTGTTCCACGGCCGGGACGGAATCCGCACTGCTCCTCTTGAATCTGAGGTTCGACAAGCGGTCGGAGCCTCCTTTCCAGCACCCTGGCATAAGCCTTCCCCGGGAGGCTGAGTAGTATGATACCCCGGTAATTCGAGCACACTCTCCGGTCCCCCTTTTTGAAGATGGGAACCACCACCCCGGTCTGCCATTCCATGGGCACTGATCCCGACCCCCATGCGACATTGAAGAGGCGTGTCAGCCAGGACAGCCCAACTATGTCCAGCGCCTTCAGCATCTCAGGGCGGATCTCATCCACCCCCGGCGCCTTGCCACCAAGGAGCTTTTTAACTACCTCAGTGACCTCTGCCAGGGATATGGGTGAGCCTCCCCCTAGGTCCTCAGGCGCTGCCTCCTCTGCAGAGGACATGTTGGTCATGGTTCTCTGCCGGAAACCGGTGGATTGCTCCCTCCAGGTGGGGAAGGAGTGCCTACCTCAAGCGAAGGAGTTCAAGTATCTCGGGGTCTTGTTCACGAGTGAGGGTAAAATGGAGCGGGAGATCGACAGACGGATCGGTGCGGCTGCAGCAGTAAAGCAGGCGCTGCACCGGACCGTCTTGGTGAAGAGGGAGCTGAGCCGGAAGGCAAAGCTCTCAATTTACCACTCGGTCTACGTTCCTACCCTCACCTATGGTCACGAACTCTGGGTCGTGACCGAAAGGACAAGGTCGCAGCTACAAGCGGCCGAAATGAGTTTCCTCCGTAGGGTGGCCGGGCTCAGCCTTAGAGATAGGGTAAGGAGCTCGGTCATCAGGAGGGAGCTTGGAGTAGAGCCGCTACTCCTTCGCGTCGAAAGGAGTCAGCTGAGGTGGTTCGGGCATCTAATTAGGATGCCTCCTGGACGCCTCCCACTGGAGGTTTTCCAGGCACGTCCAACTGGGAAGAGACCCCGGGGAAGACCCAGAACACGCTGGAGAGATTACATCTCCCAGCTGGCCTGGGAACGCCTCGGGATCCCCCAGAATGAGCTGGAACATGTTGCCGGTGAGAGGGAGGTCTGGGTCGGCCTGCTTGACCTGCTGCCACCGTGACCCAACCCCGGATAAGCGGTGGAAAATGGATGGATGGATGGAATAGGCCAACAGCATATGGAGCATTATGGAACATTATATTCCTCATCATGCCAGGTCCCCTGTGATCACATTTCTCATAGAGTAAGAGCATTTAACTGTTCAACAGTTTTGAAACACCCAGGTGCATTAGAGTGAGAGACCCTGCAGAATGAATGTGTTTCATATAATGGTCTGTGACTTTAGAAGTGATTCAAGGTGTTTTTGATGCGCATTTTGTTTTTGGTATGTGTCCCTTAATTATATGTTTTTGTAGTCATGAACCTGCAGTTACCTTTTAGGTCAGTCAAGCACCTGCTGCATTCTTACTGTAAAACTGTGTAGGACCAGAGATGGATTCTTTTTCTTATGTTCCTCGTCATCATTTTTAACAGACAGAATACAATCCGTAGCCTTGGGTTCCATTAAACATTTCAAAATCGATTGTAAAATTTGTTTCTATTGTTTGAAAAGTTGGGCAGTTGAGGTTTTAAATATAAAAGGTTCATGGTAACAATGTTTTGTAATGGATAAACCCTTGAGGCTTAGTTTCTTCATTTTGGTTTTTTAGTTATTTGAATGAAAATGGCTTTGTATGGGATTTGATTTCAGTTGCAGCACCGTGAGTATATGCGTGTGTGTGTGTGTGTGTGTGTGTGGTGTTTTAAAAAAGAAAAATTGTTAGTGCCTCTTTGCTTGTTTGATATCATATCAGCATGTGTGCAAATGTGTGTGTGTACATGGATCTCTGTACACCTGCTTGTGTGTTTGTCTCAATCTATATCCATAACATGGACACCTTTTCCAAAAAGACAAAAATAATTTCTAATCTCTGCAGAGTTTTTGAGTCGATCTATACAGTTTACCACATCCTGGTGCTGGACAGCAGGACGGTTTAGTATTCTGGTAGACTGAGCTTTGATCATAGTTCAGACAATTTCAGTTACAGTACATTAAACTGCATCAAAGCTGGCAAACACTGTCAACTCAGTTCTGATTCATACTCTACAATGCACCCACGCTGCTGTGACTTTTGTTGTCCAATATGTATGACAAGGAGCAAAACATCAGGGTAGCTTTTTACATAATAGAGAAAAGAATTAACATTTTTTAACCTTGTGCAAAATAATTCTTCCCAATCTTAATGCCATGGCTGATTCAAATACCAGCAATTCTACATTATCTGCCGCTTTGCTGTAGACCTATTAGCATTGCCGAGGGCAGAATGTGCAAAACGTTTGAGGCTTTAGCTCGGACCAGAAGTATTTAACCTACCTCAACCCACAATGTAACACTTAAAAACGTGAATGACTAGCTGTGGTGAAAAAAAAACCCTGTGATGCTCAAACTTGCATTCACCCCAGTGTGAAATCTTTCCCACATCGAGAGAACATCGATTCAAAGTGGACACAAACCCTGGACCAGGTGCTTATCAGGTAACGCTGTTAAAGTTTTGCTCTCGTGAAACATTCTTACCTCCCAACTCACTCCCGATCTACATGAGTCCTTGAGCAGCCCACATTCAGTGAAAGTGCACTGACCTCAGTAGTAGGTATGGATGTGTGTGTCCTTGGGTTTTAATTTGCTGTACGACTAAGAGTGAGAGTCTTATGAAACGTGGGTGTGCGTACACAGACCCTGTTTGTGTGTCTGGCATATGCAGGAGAGGCCACAGATATATGGCTGACATTATCTCGTGTTTTGATCCTCAGAGAATCTATCAAATTTCTCTCTCTGACCTTGAGCTGAGCAGAAGAAATTGATTGCTTGGTAAGAAAAATCCAAACTTCAATAAGTTTCTGTGGTTTCGACCAATCTCCACTGATGCAACACAAGGCTGAATGATGCAGTTTCCTGCTTTAGGCAGCTTTTCACTTTGTGGGAGAATGCACTGAATTGACCTGCCTGGTTAAATTAAAGTGGGAAAAGTGAGTGCATCTTTTATTAAGTGTAATGTTGTTTAATGCAGCCACCTTAGACTGCTGACAGAGACAAATGCACTTTATGGTAGAGGCATAATACAGCTGTAATGAAACCTAACCAGAACCTAATCTCTTCCTGCTCCATTTCTGTGTTTTAATAGGAATTACAGCTTTGGGTTACAGCTGCAGGAGTGTGCGTGAGTGTGTGTGTGTGTGTGTGTGTGTGTGTGTGTGCGTGTGGAATGATTGAAAGAGCTAATGTTGCTTCCAGTCCCTGCTGACTTTGAGTGTTGAACATCAAAGACAAAACCACTGAGTTTGATTTAAACCACGCTACAGAGTTCATCATCATGTTCATGTCCATGGGTGTAATGTTATCACAGGGGCTCTTTCTTCTCTTCTGCCTGCCTGCCTGTCTCCCTATCTGTCTGCTGTCTGTGTGGATTCATCCCCTCTACTTTCCCCTCTCTCATCCTTCTGCAGTTCACTGTCTCTGTCTCTCTGCCTGTTTCCATCTCTATGTCCCTCTCCTCTCATTCTCCCAGATTTATTATGGTTATTAAGCAAAAACTGTTAAGCAACTGTTTGGATTACACTACCTACAGCCGGGTACACACAATATAATTATTTGGCTGATCATAAATATGGTTTGGGCTCTACAACCAATCTTGATTGTGTTCTGATAGTTTTACTGCCCTTCATTCTAACCTAGATTATTTAAACAATGTTACATTTTCATGACAGGATTTGTGATCATGTGTTGGGAAAAATGATACAGTGAAGCAGAGTAATCGTGACAAATGACAAGGGTTATAATTGTCACACTGTAACCTGCTTGAATGTGATTGGACATTACATCAGTCAGATGGTAGCCAAACAGCCAATGAATGAAGCGTGCCATTGGTGCTGCCTGAACTTACACTCTGCTCCATTCCACCTCATCAGGTTTTAGTACAGAGCAACAGCTCACTGGAGGTTCAACTACACTTATCAAGTTTAGCTATTTCCAGTTCTCTCTTCAGAATATGCTGTCGGTCTCTTTCATCCATGTCCCCCCTTTTCAGTGGAAATTGCATTATAAATTAGCAAGGCAAACAGTTTTTGATGGATGTCCTTTTTGGGACAGGAACACTTTGTGTTCTTGCTGCATTTAATTACTTGAATATGATTGGACGGTACCAGTCAGCTGCTAGCCATGCGGCTGATTAATAAGCCAGTGATTTTGATGCATGAAGAAAAGCAGCCAATGCTGGTGCCATTTTATTGCTTAGCCTGACCCCCATCCTCTATTCCAGTTCATCAGGTTTCAGTAAAGAGCCGCAGCTCACCTGAAATTCACCTCACTCTTATGAAGTTCATTCCTCTTCAGCTTTCTCTTTTCTTCAGAGCTCTCTCTCTCTCTCTCTCTCTCTCCCCCCCCCCCCCTCCAGCTCTTCTGAATTGTTTATTTTCTTCGTCGTTTCCGTGCATATGGAACTGCTTATGATTGTGACCCATTTCAGTTTTGGTACAGGAACACGAGAGATTCGTGTTCACTTGAAATTGTGCTTCTTTCTGACCACAAGAACAGCAATCCTGTGCAATATAATCAATGCGAGTAGTCATTATTTTAGGTACATGCTTAAGCTTGGTAGGTTTAAAATAATCTTAACTTTAAAAAGCATGTCCCAGTGTGTGAGTATCACTTTGTAAGTAAAAAGTCTCAGTGCATATTTTTTCCACATACATTTTTAAAACCTCTATCACCCTATGTAGACGTATGCTGGTGGTTGTTCTTTCATCACCATACGCTGTGTTTTTCTGCTCTTTATCTGCTTTACACGTCCCTCTCTGCCTCTCACTCGGTCTCTCAGCTCCATTTCTACTCTCTTCAGGGGAAAATGTGGCTTTTCCACTGACAGCAGCTAGTAAAACTGTTGAAGTCTCTCATACGATCCTCCACTCCTCTCCTTTCCTGAAAACATAATCTACCAGGGCATTCAATTTAAAGTAAAATCAAAACTCTGCATTTTGGCTTTTCAAGTGTTTGTCTGCTGCCACTCCAGTCAAAGCAGAGTGTAGAGGTAATGTTGGGAGATAATTGGCACAATGTGCCAAAATGGGTTAGTTTATGGTATTGAGCTTATAACAATGCTTCCTGCTGTAGAACTTAATTACAGACCAATATTTAAGGCCTAGGGCCCTGGTGTTGACTCTGACACTGGCTGGCCGAGGGCTCTTTGTGTGGAGTTGCACGTTCCTCCCGTCCTTAGATGGGCTTCATCTAGGTGCTCCAGTTTCCTCCCAGTATAAGAAGAACAAGCAAGTCTGTTTTAATGTTTCAGCCCTTTGATAGACTGGTTACCTTTCCAGTGTGCACAATGTGAAGCTTGAGGAGGCCCCAGCCCCCCTCAACAGGATTGTGTGTACAGGAGGACTGTAGATAATAGTCGGAAGGAGATACATATCCAGCAAACCCACTACACATCCAAGTAGAGCTAATAAAAGTTCTTTAACTACAAATGGCAGCAGAAATGTCTTTTCAAATTTACTATTTATAGTATATTGCACTTTCATAACACCGAGGGGCTTGTGAGGCACAGCTTTTTAGAAGAATGCAAAAATCTGTGAGAATCAAAGCAGCATAAATCCATGTCCTGACTTTTAGACCCTAGTATGAGACATGCCCCAAAAACCCCGGGTCCTACTTTTCCCATGAGGCAACTTGGTAGTGTCCTAATTAGAACTTCCCAGCCTGACAAGCACCCATCACTTTCAAACTCCACACAGTTTGCAACACGCGCCTTCTGTTAGACCGTTTAAGCCTCAAGCTGATGACATCGTCAGGCTAATTTTCTCAAACTTTCAAAAAGCTATCTGCAGAGTCACTTAAGACATTAAACAGCTGTTTTGGTGCCCTTCATGAAGAGTTAAACCGAACTTGATGGGTAGAAACGGTGGAAGACACATTCCCTTCACACAAACAATGCACGTTCTAATGTGATTTGTGACAATTTCTGTCTTTTTTTTTTTAACATCAACTCGTGTTTACATCACATCACCTCATATTAGTAGTGCAACATTTAAATATGGTTGTATGTATCAACTAGTGTTTACTTACAAGTGTTTTAACTAAATAGCAGGTGACACCTGACACCCCGAGTACAATAAATGATTTAGCTTTTAGTTGTTGTTTAGTTGTTCTTTCTCTGACTTGAGCCCAGATGTTGATTTGGAGCTCATACATATGTGTTTCATTGTTTGACGTGTCGTGGCTCAATTTAGCTTGAGGAAGTTCAGTTCTCCTATTCTTCAGTGTGAGGCATGTCTAAGCTCTCATTTCTTTAATTAGCCGCGTGAGTGTGAATCTATACGACACCATAGAGGCCATACGGAGGTAAAGATGGTGTGAAGTGGTTCAGAGAGGGAGAGAGGGAAGATAGTGTTGAAGCGGGCAGAGGGAGTGGCATGGTAGCGATGAGTGAGAGAGACAGGGGCAGAGGTGAGACAGTGAGGTGGCAAAGGGTAGAAGAAGAGAAGCAGAGAGACAGACAGCAGCACACCGAGCTGCTGAAGAGGGTAGTTAAATTCAACAGCTGTAAATGTGTTCTGAGGACCTGCAATCTGAAACAGACGGCCGCGGAATGGCTTAGCAGCTATTTCAGCATCAGCGTGTTCGCATATGGATCCACCCGAACATGTGCGTGTAATGTCATATAGCTATCTACTTGAGCGGCATTAGGTCACAGTGAGGGCTCATTTTGTGTTTCCATTAAATGCACCACATGAGGCACCTACTTCTGGAGGCTCGATTACCTTTCTCGTGCACAGCACATGTCGGCTCTTATTGGTTGGGCTTAATTTAACAGAGTGTTGATGGAACAGAGGAGTATAAAAAGACACGGCAGTAGACATCAAGCAAAAGCAAATATGAATTAATATGCTGTGATCTTTGCTGATATATAAGCCTGCAGAGTGCAAAGAACATCCAGAGCCAAAACAAGAAGCTCAAGTTAATGTGATATTCATTATGAGTTAGAACAGATGGTGTCCATACCAAGGCTGACATTTCATCAAACTTTCCTCAGGCGGTGCACTTTATGTCTCTACATGTGCTTCTTTCCTGTGAGAGTTTTTATAGTTCCACTTTTATTTCTTCTAAGTGGGAAGCACTGCCACCTGATACCACCTCATCATGTTCTCAGCATTGTTTCTGATGAGGGCAGTGAGGTAACATCCCTTATCATTTAAAATGCAAAAATATCTCTGCATGGCTGCATTTATATTCAACACACCCACACTGCACAAACTTTCTGTTTGTTTGCCACCTTGTTTTTGTGTGAGTTTGGAGAGTTGGAAACCCTAACTTAACGCAGGAGTTTGCATGACTGTACAGTATGTGTGTGTGTGTGTGTGTGTGTGTTTATAATATATTTATATACATATATAAAAGTATTGAAATGATAGGAATAAAGAAGTAAATGAATAAATGTTGGTGTATGGTTGATATTAGTTGAAGCTTCATTCTGAAGTTTAAGGAAAGTACTATTTACTACACATTTTCCATTAAATGTGGCCTTCGCAACTCTGTGGTCATATGTCACACTAACTTTGCCCGAAAGTAAGTACAGCAACTAGGCTAACTGCACAGGGATCTACAGCTGGCTCAACTATACGGCTGACCAAACTACTCCATATTCCTCCTCTAAAAAGGTGTTTTGATCAATCTCTCCCCATGATGGTTTACCCAGAAAACAACACTATTAAACTACTACGCTTAAAATGACCGGTGTTCTCCCCACCAAGGAGTCTTAGTGGCCTTAAAGCAAACCTTACCCATAGAGGTGGCCGATCAGACAGCAGTCTTACAAATCATTATTGTTGCGGCACTGACGAACGACCTATTTCGTTGTTGAGGATTCAGATATGAGGACTCTCTGTTTCTGTCTATTGAATTATACATGTGTAGCAAAACAAAGGCTTCTCCTTATGTGTGGTGAACGTGCAAATCTCTGCAAGCTCCAACAGAGAATTTGCATCCTTTTTTTTTTTTTTTGCTGGCACGTGTGTATTCAGGTTTAGGATGAAGCTTGTGTTGTTGTGTCATGTACTGTATGTGTGTTGTGGGAAAGACTTTGCATCCAGCACTCTCTCCTCTGTGCTTATGTGCACGCTTGAACACGTCTACCTACATACCAAATAACATCATCGCCAACTCCCCGCACAGATCCCCCCTTTTCCTTCTCCCCTCTGTGACCTAGTGAAACATCCCATAATCTCCCTTATTATTGCTATGCCGGTGGTGTCGTCACTTCCAAGAGCTCTTCCACATCTTACCGACCTCCTGGGCAACCCTGAGGGTGACCTGGAGTTGAACCCGCAACCCTTTTCCCATTAGGATCAATACTGAGATCTGAGCCGCCCCGCCGATGCGCCTCAATCCTTCTGTGGTACCTCTGGCATACTGATGCGTGTATGTGCGCTGGGAGGTTGGGAGGGGGGAGAGGGAGAGAGAAAAAGAGAGCTTTTGTAACATGGGAGATTCTTCAGGTAGTACCTGTGTGTGAGGGGGGTAGCAAATTAAGTGGGTTTGCATACTGTGTGTGTGTGTGTGTGTAGAGAGAGAGAGAGAGAGAGAGAGAGAGAGAGAGAGAGAGAGAGAGAGAGAGAGTTTCTTTTGTTTTGTGTTTGGCGAGGTGATTTTAAGGTCAGAGCTTGAAGCGCATGTCGACAGCCACAGATAACGGCATTTTTTCTCTCTTTTTTCTGTCAGAGCATTTCATTCATTGATTGCTGTCAGAATGTAATGAGAATGCCACTAAATACAGCAAACATGTTTTTGAAGCAGATTACCAACCCTGCCTTCAATGACCACTTTTCTAGCAGAAAGACGAGTGTTGCACTTTGGGTAATTTGTTTGGCTATGTGAGTTGTTGAAAATTAAGGTTGTAATGCAAGTAGTTATTTTAAGTTTACAGTCCAGTGACCTTTTCAAAAGTCAAACAAGGACGAGACAAAGAGGACGAAGAAAAAGTCTAAAAAAATCACTGGCAATATATCTTAGTAGAAAATAATGTGCTTCACACTCCACTTTGGGACACGTAAAGTCAAAGATGACTCCTCAGTTCAGTCAGGACACTCACGTCAAAGTTTGCAAAAATACTCATTTTAGCGGGTCCGCTCATGTGATGCTTTGGAACTATTCTGTGTAACCACCAGCAGCCTGACGTGCAGAACGCATAGAACCCGTCAAAATGCATACGACTAAATAAAGCTCATATAATATATACAATAATGCTAACACAGGAAGAGGTTGTTGAGGTGGAGAGAGTTATGGACTACCTATTGTGAGAGAGGTCGTGTGATTGGATAGTGTAAAGAACATGTGACTGTAAAAATGACTTCCAGGCCTGCCTGAAGGCTCCATTCTTCAAAAAGTTCTGTGTTTTTGTGACTTTTCCATTTCTCGGAAGATATTGTAAAGCTGTTTCATACGAGGCTGTTGTCTCCAGTAAACAGGTTCAAACTCAGCTCATGGGAAGTTTTATTAGATGGTTAAAGGCAGTAAAAAAACAGGGTGATTTGTGGAAAACGCCAAGAGCTGCTGATTACTCCTGTTTTAAAGTAATTGCCATCATCCATTCATTTTTGTTTGTTTCTTTCTATATTTCTAAGTCTTTGTTGCCTGTTCAACAACAACAAGGTTGTGTTTACACCTTTTAAACATGTCCCTCTTCATACATATTTCTATAGTGGAAAAGATCCTGTTGTCTGGATCTGTTCACATCTAGTACTGTACAGAGCTGCATAAAGGGGCTGACTCTTGTTTAATGCACGACAAACAGTTTTTGAGTCTACTGTATTTTCAAAATTTAAGACACACAAGCATACTGTATTGCTCTTATTGTACCTTCTTTGTTACCCCCTCCTCATCTGTTTGTGTCTCTGCAGCTGAGTCCAGGCATCATGAACACAGTACTGAAGGGCACCTTCAATGTGACGCTTAACAGCCCCTCTGGGTCACTGCTGTTCCCCCCGTGTGGCCCCTGGCCCTTTAACGGCCCACAAGACCGCCAACACCTTCATCGCCACCAGCACTTCTTAGCGCTCTTTGTGGGTCAAAGTTTAGAGGGGAAAGGTGAGTGGGGTAAAAGGTCAATCTTAAGGTCATCACATTTGAATTCATATCCTGTGGAAAGCTTATTTGTCATGAATATTTATGCTTCTATCCATTTCTGTTGAATATACAATAGGCAATGAATTGTAACTTTACTAAGCTTATTAATTACATGAACAGAAGTGTAGATATAGCTTGATTTTGCAACAGCAATATGTACAAAAATGTAAAAGAAAAGCGTTTTAATGACAATAATCATGACAGCACTTTATAGCATGTTTGAGTGTCTTTCTCTTTTCAGTATTTCTATTCCCCGCCACTGTTGAAAGCTACTTTGTTTTGCCATGTGTGTGTCTAAGCCCAACATTTGCTGTCAAATAACAACACACGGTAGATCCCTACAACTGTTCTTCTGCTGATAGCCTTCCGTGTTTCAAGTGTTAGAAATTTCACTCACATTTAATTTCACAGGTAATTTACAAACCAGAGTAGCTCATTACTTCTGATGTGTTTTTGTTGTTGTATTTATCGGAGCAAACAGCCGACTGATTAACTTCTTTTTTTATTCTTTCAGGCAGCAGTTTGGAGGAAGATGGCTGCTCTTTATTCAGTGTCCCAAAGTGAAATACCTACAATGGACCCTGCATCCACAGCTGATGGTTCCCTCATTCTTTGCAGTGATGACAAGTTTGACACACTGATTCAGCTGTTGATTCTGCATTAACCACTTTGCTAGTCAATAACAATTAAAAAGCTATTAGTGTGAATATTGCCTGAGGTCTTTTGAAAGCATGTTTCTCTTGATGTCTCTTTGTTTTCTTAAAGCAGCAATCAAAAGATCCAATCTGACAAAGATTAAATATGATGAGAAGGTTTTTCGAGAGACATTTTTACTGTGCTGCTCATATTGGCCAATAACAGGAAAGCTATAGGCACAGGGTAGCACGGGATCACATAATCATTAAGCTCGATGTGAACTCACACAGTCTTATCCTTTGGAGGCCAAGATTGTCAGAAATCCTGTTTTATTTAAGGACAATGAACCGGTGCATGTGACAATTGGAAAAAAAATGCTGTTAGAATTAGAAAAAGAAGCTTTGTAGCTGTACATTATTGCTTAGCATGCATAAATCATGACACCATTCATTATGTATATTTGTGCTGACCACCAGAGATACAGGTGTGAAAGTCATACGGAGGACTCATAACTTATTTTCCAGTTTTTGTGATGCACTGATAGGCTTTGCTCATTAATCAATGTAGCCCTGCACTTTCACACACATAGACACTCACATACTGCGCAACATGCAGGAACACACATTCAAACCAAAAGAGGCAACGACACATAAAAGTACAGTACATTCTGCTCATAACAAGCATGGATTTTAGGTGTGAATCAGTGGCATTATTTCGTGCTTTATACCTGGTTTGAACTGAGCAAGCAGAGGGGAGATAGAGACGAGAGAGTCAGGAAGAGGAGTGAGAGAAAAGTTGTGTGGAGCAGTGATGGAGGACATGATACCTGAAACTAACTCAGCAGTAAGCAAAATACGCATATTTGCTTTCTTGCCAATAGTAGAGACGAACTGTAAAACATTTCTCATTAGGTCATTAAATATGAAGCTTCAGCCGCAGCTGCCAACGTGGGCAAGTCTCCGCTGATTGCCTGGCATATCCAAAATGACAACTGTTGCCGGCCAAGAAAAAGTCTGGCACATATTTACCCCATGTAAAACAACACTTTGTCATTTTTACACTTAACGTTTTTGTGCAGATGAAACAAACCAGATGTAATGTATTCATTATTTAGCTTTACAGGTGCTCGTTGGTGGATTCTGTTCCCTTCAGACAGAGCCAGGCTAGCTTTTTTCCCGTTTCCAGTCTTTATGCTAAGCTAAGCTAATTTGCGACCGACTGTAGCTTCTTCATATTTAAGTACAACACAGACATGAGAGTGGTATCAATCCTCTCATCCAGCACTCAGTACTGCTTTGAGAAACACTAAGAAAAACACTTGCCTTATTATAATATATGATATGTCTTCATGATTATCCTACTACTCCACTATCCCCGGACCCTGACCTTGTATATCTGGTACCAGAGAGGCAGAGGTAGCTGGCTGTGACGAGGCGATGCGGGCGGTTCAAAGTGTCAGATAAACCACTTTTACTGGCCGTTACCTCTGGAGAGTGTAGATTTATGCTCCTTATCTCTGCTGATCACTCACCGTAAATCAGCTCTTCATGGCTGTGTGTAAATGTGTGTGTTGCCAGCCTTTATAGACAAAGAGAGAAAGCAACAAGAAGTAAGCATCACAAGAAGATGCAGAGATGACACCGTTCAGGTTGATTTTGTTGTTGTCATTTCTAATATGAAATAACCTTTTCCCAGATGTCTGGCTCCCCCCAGCCTTCTCTGAACTTCCTGTGTCGGATCCGTCCACGTCGTGCTGTGTTCAAAATGCCTCTGTGAGCGTCCAAAGTAACAGGTTCGATGGAGCACCATGTCTCTGATTGTTCCTGTGGGCCTTTTAGCCTAATGAGGTGTTTACCCCCTATCATTATTCAGCTGGGAGCGGAGCGGGAGACAGAGGGGGGAGAGAGGGTAGAGCGGGTAGAGAGAGGAGGGTAAGATATACAGTAAAATGGAGACAGAAGAAAGTGAAGAAAAAAATAGAGGAAAAGGAGAAAAGGCAAGTAGAGGATGGAGGGAAAATGAGGCATTGTATATGGGCAGAGGAAAGATCAGGGAGTTAAAAGAAAACGAGAGGCAGAGGAGGAAAGAAAGGCAGAGAGGAAGGCGAAAGAGCCCGGTGTTATTTATGCCTCCCTCGGCACTCGTCTTTACCTTTTTTTCCCCCACGAGCTGTTTTACATCGGCGATCTAATTAAATCAAATAAATCACAGCAAACACGCACACACACACACACACACACGCACACACACACAGTCACAACAGCCCCTCCTGATTCTGGGATTGTGAACATCTCCTCCCCCTACCCCTTCCACCCGAGATTGAATAAATCTCGATTATGGTGCATTACACGGCACATCATTCATGTTGTTTATAGGTCTAAAATATGCAAACAGACCAGGGGCATTAAAGTGATCGATGCTCGAATGTGCTCTTTTTTTCTGTTCTGTTCTCATCTCTCCCGCAGCACCAAGCGGCGTCACTTACAGATGTCTCATGTGGGATGAAGACATATTGTATTGTGTCCTTACTTTGTCCCCTCGTGATGGCTATTTTCATTGTCTTTGTGCCCAGGCATCCACAAGGCATTTTTATTACCTCATTCGCTAAAGCACTCTGTCTCTGCCGTTGAGCCATTATTAAATCTAATTAGCTCTGCCAAACCTTGAAGCTGTCGCTGAGAGATCTCTTGATAATTGTAAAACAGGGGTAAGTTGATCAGTGTTTTTATCGGTTACAGTGGGACTCTCAATACACCAAACACATGCAAACAACCAGCAGCTGCTAAAGCTGCAGTTCCTTTCCAAGAAATGACTGCTTCTAGGAGATAATTGTTTGAGGATATGTTGTCCAAACATGTTGTTAGCAAATGTATTTTTTATTGTTTTTGGCCGACCCAAGCGTGAAATTAATATTCCATGCTAACCAAAGTTTAAAAAAGGGTCTTCAACTGTTAAAAATAACAAAACTCCACAGATTACTGTATAAATCCATGATTGTGATGGGTTCGTTTTATTGTTTGGGTTACAATATCTCATTTACAATGTCATTGAGATGTAAAACAATATAGCTAACATTAAAAGAAACAATGTATGAAAGCTAAATGTTAAAATACAGGATAATAAAATATATTATCCTGCATTATAAATTAATAAAATGAATTTATAAACCAGATCAAATTACAGTTAAAAGCATTTACAATAAATTAAAACAGGCTCTGAAATAAGGTGATCAGCCGCGTCGGCAGAGAGTCCAAGTTAAAGGCGTTGTGCAGATTATTGAATGTATGAGGTGTTTTGTAAGAGAATGACATTTTTCCTGTAGTTCAGATGGACTGTGGAGCAACAACCCATTCTGTCACCAAGATTAAGTGAGTTCAGAGTTAAAAGCGATACAAATATAGGGTGGAAACATTTCCATCAAAGCTTTATAGATGAATAAAAAACAACTCTGGTCCCTTCTCATAGCCAAACGTGGACAGCCATTGCCACCTTTAAAATTTAGAGTACATCAAAATGGTCTCTATAGATTTTTTAGTATTTGCTTTCTGACGTTATTCTTTTGCAAACGGTAAAAAGATCAAAAATCTCTCATTTAATGTTGTTTTTCTTCTGGTTAGAGTCGAGTTTCATTCCATTAACTTGAAGCTTTGCTTCAAAATCAAAAATATTATGATGTATAACACTGAAGATGACATTTCATCCATATCATTCCACATTTCTTCTTTTTTCAACAGACCAAGCTGGGAGCAGGAGGTGGTTGCTAATGTGCACAAAATCTAAAAAGACTGAGATGGAAGGAGGATATTTAGTCACATTTTGGTGGATCTGTGAGTGTTTGGAATGCACTGAGCATGTAGATGGAGGGTAGAGTATGCTGCAGGCGTGGATTGGTGACTTTCTATTGATGCTTTTGTTCTTTTGTTCCACCGTTAATGAGTCATTGTAAACTACAACATTTCTTTGCTACGCATATTACAAAGTAGAGAAAGTCATTGGTGAAATTCACCAGAGGTCATACTACTTTCATCAATCCTCTGCTGACCTTTAACACTCATTTTGTCAATACATGTAAATGTAGAGTTCTATATTTAGCCACAATCATCTCGAGATGACAGCTTTGCGCTCGCAAACACAGCTTGGTGAAAGCCAGATTAGCTGGTGTCTTTAATTAAAGGAGATGTACAGTAGTGCAGAAGAATCAATGTGGAGGTTAACAAGTGCTGACAAGGGCAGAAGAGACAGCAGGGCTTCATTTAGAAACAGTGAGAAGAACGAGACAGGGTTACAAGCAG